CAGCTGAGAAATTAGGCTGAAGCAATTCTTAAGTTCACCACTAACAAGTTAACAGTGACCTGGGGAGATTTTTACTCGTCCTTCATAGAGTAAATCAACAGTTGACTGAACTGCTACCTTAGGCTCAGAAATATTACAGTTTATTTCTGAAACTCAGCTTAGCTTGTAAACGAGGTATATTCACAGAACGTGCACAGAAAGTCCCTGCTCCTCTTTGCCAACAATCCCCCCGAAGGAGGCAACCAAAAAAAAAAAAAAGTTTTAAACACAAGGCTGAAGAGAAGCCTAAAGAAATCCAAGGAAGAGTTACCAATAAATTCATACTGGCTCTGCAATTCACAAAGTGTAAGAAGGGGCAAGAAAGATCTCAATGACACAAAAAGACGTAACCCTGAGAGATGCACATACATGGTACCAGTCTAATTTTTCCTGGGGAATGAAGAAATAGACAATGTCAGGGCAAGCCATGAAACTATTATTTGCATCTACAAACATTCAGTTACAACTGCAAATTACTCTGCAAGTTTTGCTATTCAAATTGCACTGTGCATAGACGGCAATACATAGTCATTAAACATATTTAAACCTATCTCTGAAGATCATTTTTTTTTATAAGGGGCCAATCTGACAAATATTGTGGGTCGAAGCAAAACGTTGTGCACAGGAAAGCTTGTCTGGTAACTACACACATTACTAAGTATTTAAACAGCCTCTTGTTTTCTATATAGAGGCTTGACCTACACAGGCTGCACTGTGTAGGTCAAAAAATAGGTTGCAAGTCAGGGAGGGGAAGAAGAGACAACATCACAAGAAAAATAATACTGTCCACAGAATACATGTTTCACATCTACAAGACGACTTTTCATTTGACTGGAGTTGTTCCCGGCTAGCGGGTTTTGGGGGGTTTTGCTTTGTTGTTTTGAAGTAGAGCACCCTGACACACTCAAAGGCCACGAAGCCCAGCAGTACCAGTTACACGCACACACACTGCTTCCTTTCAAATATATCAGCCAGCCTGGAAAAAGGATGTATCTCATCTATACGTAGCCCTCAGCCGCCTTGGCTCCTCGTCGCCGCCCAGCCGCACACGCGCCCCCATGGTACCGGGTTACAGGGAGGCTTTATGCAGCTCGCAGCATCACGCAGCTGTAACATTCAGCGTACAGCTGCACCCTTTCATAGCAAAACAAGGGAATATCAACATTTGGGGCTTGTGCAACAAGGACCAGATCAAACCGGTGCCCTTAGGTCTAGTTTTAATTCTGCTTTTGATTGACAATACATTTTGGTCGATTATCTGAGACCTAAGCCACATCATTTCAGCTCTTTCCCAGACTAGGCTTCAGGCTACTTAAGCAGGTTTTTCTATTTTTATTTCAAGATATATATACATATATAACCTTAGGCTTTTAAAAATCTATTAAAAAATCAACTGGAAAAAAGATTGAATGATTAGAGACTCTATACTAGAAAGTGACAATCCTGTTTAAGTGCTGGTTTTGATCCCTACAGATAAAAGCACGGGCTTAGGAATACACGGACTGTACAACAACTTCAGGCATCATTTGTAATGAAACACAGTTTGATACGTTGAACCTCTCCTCTTCAGAATTATTTTAGTGTTTCTCATGTAGTATCACATTTTTTTCAAAAGGTCACTTACTACAAAAAAAGAAACTGCGCCAAATACTTAAGCAAGATGCTAAGTTAAGCAAGATGCTATCATCCACTCTCATACATCTTTCGCTTTTACAATGTGGGACGCAAATACACCCGTTTTGGGGTTTCCTCACCAAAGATTGCCAAAAAAAAAAAAAAAAAAAAAAAAGCTAAATATTCTTGAATTCCTGGTTTGAGAAGCTGAGCTCAAAGCAAAACACTATCTGGCTCAATGCAAAAGCAAACATTAGCACTACCAGCAAAACCCTCAAGCAATTTAGCTGTTTGCTCAAGACCTTGGCCTTTCAGCTCAGAGCTACTACTAAGCCTACAATTCAAGGTCACAACATTTCTGTAGAGACTTGAGAACAAAAAAAACTGACCAAGCATCGAAGTTAACACTACTGAGCAAAAATTCCATCTCTTCTCTTTTTAAAAAGCCACGTTTTTGCTCCTGACACCCTTCTATCTGCACTTGGAGCTACCTATGACAGATGAGCAAAAAGCAGGGACTTCCTGTCTCCACCTACCCCCATTAGCTGCTTCTCTGGGAAGTTTGGGAAAGCGCAGTGAAGAGCAGCCAGCTCCCTACGCAACTGCAGAGCTCTTACTTTGAACTGGTATTACATTCTATCCTGCTGTGATAAAGCAAATTCCTGCTCCTATTCTTGGGCTGCTTCTTAAAGAAAAGTTTCCCCTCTTCCTGTCCCATTATCTCAGAATCAATATTTTGTTTGCAGGACAAAGCAGTACAACTGCAGCAGTAGTTTTACTTCCTGATCACTTCATTCTCTGTGTTTTGGATTGCTTTTTATTTAGACACTGTGTATCCAAGCTACTAAAAGAATCTAGAAAGAACAACCCCAATGGTCAAGTTTCTTGCCCCATAAGTTCCTTAGATATAAATATATATGTATATATATATATAATGTTTAATATCAACAGTTCACATAATTCTCCTTAAATGCAAATACAAGAGGGATACATATAAATATATATAACTTAAAGATTGAAGTTTTTCACAAATTCATTTTAAACAAAGCTCAGACACAAGGAAAAATGGAATCACATTTGTAAATTTGTGAATTCTTTAGTCAAGATTAAGGTATATGTTGGAATAACAGAAGATATATCAAGACCTAAGAAATTCAGCTTATAAAGCTTTGTTATAACACTGTACACAAAGTCTACAATCAAATCCAGAGAAGGAAAAGCTGTACTAACATCACTCTCAGTTCCTTCAAATTCTAGATCTAATGTCTTTTTGGAAACGGTGTTGTTTGTTGAACCCTCCCTATCTCGTCAAATGTTGAAAGTGCCGCAAAACTAGATGAACTCTGCTACTTCCTGCCCTCCCTGCACCAAAAATGAGCCCAGTTTACATTCTCACAAAGTAGTACAAAATGAACGCATTTGTTTAAACTTAACTTATAATTTGGGGATTTTTTTAAATAAACTTATTTAAATTTTAAACTTAGCATGCTTATAATGTTTAATACTGTGACATTACATTGCACTGTTGAATCTTGAATGCATTATAAAAATATTACATACTAGTATAAAGACATTTAGAGTAAATCTAAGACTACAAACTGTGAACAAATATCTCAAATTGCATTCTAATTCCCATGTAGGTAGAAATTGGCTTTAATACAATTTACATTAGAAGTAAATGTTGCAGTAAAAAAATATATATGTATGTATATAGGATAGAAAAATTCTGTATAAAAATTAACTCGGCAAGAAGCAAATTATCAGGTTACCTGAGATTGCCCAGGCACTCTGCGAGACAACGCAAATTTGGAAGCAGGTAAACGTGACTTTACTGTTTCTGGCCGTCAAGATGTTCAAATGCTCGGAGATCTCCGAAACGCCTTCTGTAACTCCCACAGCGTTCCCAAAAGGAACAAATTCTCAGATTCTTTGCCAGTCAGGTCCACAAGACTATTTCAGTACAAACAGCCTCAGGATATGTCCTCAGATACAGGCAAGGCACTTAGAGATTCTCAGGGCAGTAATATAGTAAATACAGTTTTCTTGGAGGAAACCCTTGCAAGTCGACTAGCAAACAGAGTGCTACGCATCCAAGTTAGTTATTCTATGCAAATGCCCAGCTGTTGGACTCAGGATGTGCAGCAGCTCCCACAGGTTATTGCAAGGGGCTTGTTTGCTCTTTTCCAAGATAGGAAAGGGCTGTGGCCAATCATCAGCTCCAAAATCTTCAATCTCTTTTAAAAAGAAGTTTAATCCCAGGATTGATTTGATGTTCCTGTTTTGTTCCTCCCCCACCATTTAAAAAATAAATTCTTACAAAATAATTTAAATCTTCACATTACTCAGCTCTTTTAATACCGTTTCAGAACGGCTACATTCCCAATGACTCAAACATTTGGCTTACAGTGAAGGTCCATGAGATTAATATTTGTCCAAGATCCAGCATAGGGAAAAAGGGAAAACTACAGCTTCTGCAAATTGGCAAAAACAGCCTCAAAATAACTAATTTTATTTAACAGCTTTAACCTGAAAGCTCTTTCTGCTCTGTATTATTGTACTCATGGCACTTCCTTCATGGCTCTGCCCTCCTTTCCAACTTAAGTCATTTCATGTGGAAACAAGTTGCAAAAGTTGTAGTTATTTGAACCAGAATTTTTACAATATGTCAGCATTTCACGTACTTTTGGAAGCTTAAGGGAAGTGAAAGCAGTAATATTCACTGAGAAACACAACTATTTGTTATTACATATCCACCTATATTATTTAATTCTGTTCTTTATTCAAGTCTCATCAATCTTCACTGGACAATACTTTAACTATTGTGATTCAGCAATATCATTATATTCAAGCATCATAACTGGCATCCAAGTTGGCAACTATTCAAAACCAATAATATTACGCATGCTCTGTTAAAAAAAAATATCTAGACACTCAAGACACTCAACTGCATTAATCTGTGAACTGATA